TTGGAGTGTCGAGATGAATATTTGGTATAATCTCTGCCTTCACACTCGGAGAAACTGCCAGCTGGCAAAGTATGCTAGTAGTCTGTTGCTCATTCTGTTACACCTTCTGCAGTCTGCCACCTTATTTCCTGCATTCATGCTCCCAGCAATAGTTTTTTCAGCTCAATAGTTTGTTCCGTTTAAAAAAGTAATCATCTTTACTCTCACCATGGAGTAGCTCTGGAGAAGCTGCCTGGCTTGTGCAGTGTGGCGTTGTTGCAAACTTCCTTCCTCCCCACCCTAACTTGGTTTACACCTCCTTTGCAACCTGAGAAACCTTCCAGGGTTTGAAAGCTCTTTTGCTTAAGGCTGATGATGTAACGGGATGCTAGTGTAGCATTTTCCAGTTTGGATGGGTTGCAAATATTAATTGTATATATTGAAGTAGTTAATTGGTGTTTTCTTAATTTGGGGCAGGAACCTAGTAGAATCATAGAATCATAGAGTTGGAAGAGACCACAAGGGCCATCGAGTCCAACCCCCTGCCAAGCAGGAAACACCATCAGAGCACTCTTGACATATGGTTGTCAAGCCTCTGCTTAAAGACCTTCAAAGAAGGAGACTCCACCACACTCCTTGGCAGCAAATTCCACTGTCGAACAGCTCTTACTGTCAGGAAGTTCTTCCTAATGTTTAGGTGGAATCTTCTTTCTTGTAGTTTGGATCCATTGCTCCGTGTCCGCTTCTCTGGAGCAGCAGAAAACAACCTTTCTCCCTCCTCTATGTGACATCCTTTTATATATTTGAACATGGCTATCATATCACCCCTTAACCTCCTCTTCTCCAGGCTAAACATGCCCAGCTCCCTTAGCCGTTCCTCATAAGGCATCCTTTCCAGGCCTTTGACCATTTTGGTTGCCCTCCTCTGGACACGTTCCAGTTTGTCAGTGTCCTTCTTGAACTGTGGTGCCCAGAACTGGACACAGTACTCCAGGTGAGGTCTGACCAGAGCAGAATACAGTGGCACTATTACTTCCCTTGATCTAGATGCTATACTCCTATTGATGCAGCCCAGAATTGCATTGGCTTTTTTAGTACAGTCATGGAAGAGCATGTTTGGCTTTGCAGAAGGTCTGAGGTTCAATTGCTGGTGTGTCCAGAATTGTTTTCTGTTAGGGATCATATAGCAGATGATTGAAAGGACCTTCACTGGAGAAGGGCCTGGGGAGAAGATGATCAGATTGACAGTTTTCTGTGTAATTTTAGCTTCTGTATGTCTTAAGGTTTTCCCTTTTTTAAAAAAGTGTTACATGCATGGTTTTAATGTGAGTTATTTCTAATAATAAAACAAGAGTGCACTATTGTCCACATTGTCAAAATTGTGTTTAGGGACTTTTGCTCATGTCAACAAATTTGTCTTGCAATCCATCTTGACATGATTTTATTCAAGGTTAAACTATGTATGTTGGTGGCAGGCCTCTGTCTTTTAATTCCACAACCACATGCAAAGAGTGGGTTGGGAGGTGCAAGGCAAAATTAGAAATGGATAAAGGATCATGCAGTGTGTGAGTCAAAGGATGGAGGTGGTTCTGAACCTTCAGCCTCCTTGATACTTTCCCCAGACAGAGTCTCTCCTCAATCTCTTTGCTGTCAGTTCAGGTACTTTCTGATACCTGAGACCTCTTTTGGGGTAGGGTGGGAAACTTGGGGAAAGAGTCCAGGGAAAAAGCAGGAGATGGTGAAGGAGGATGGTGTAGTCTATTTGCACATCATCATCCTCAATATTATATTTGTTGTATTTCATGCTTCCTCACACAGAGCCCAGAGCAACCAGCAATATTAATAAAATACAGTACAAGAGCAAAATCAACACTGAAATTTACAATAAAATACAATAGCATGTGACAATCAGTAGTACTGAAGACACAGGAACAGGTAGCATTTTAGAGAAATAGAAACATCCCTGCTATATTCTGAAGGCCCGCGAAAGCTACACCTGAATGAATGTAATGTGTGGATCTGAACTGGGATGGCGTTCCATAGATGGGATGCCACTGTTGAGGAGGCCCAGTGGTGATACCTCGTAGGTATCACAAGCAGAATTTCACCCACAAATCTCAAAACCTAAGGGAAGCTTCTCTTTGAAGTATTTGAACCCTAAGCTTTCGAGGGCTTGGGACCAACACCTTGAATTAGGCCTAGTGTCTTTCTGACAGCCAGTGTAGCACACTCAGAACTGGGGTCTTGTGATCCCAACTCTCTGCCCCAGACAGCAAATGAGCAGTAGCGTTCAGTTGCCAGAATGTCTCCAAGTGGAGCTCCATACAGAGCACACAGAAGTAGTCCAACTGGCAAGTTAAAAGAGGATGGGTTACTGGAGATATGTTGTCCTAGTCCATATCTGGTGGACCAGCCTTAGCTAAGCATTAGTATTCCTCAGCACCAAGTCCAGTGATAGATGGGATACTAGGAGTGCTCTCAAACAATGCACCTGTTCCTTTAAATGGAGTGCTACCACACCCAGCTTTATCGTTTACATGTGGTTATGGCAGACCCACATTAAAAGATATGACCTGGAATTCTGAAAAACCTACAGTTCCAGTGACATTTTGGTCTGCTATGATAGTAAGTAAAATTCTACGAGAAGTTCTAATTTATGCCAACTGGTATGTCAGCTGCTGTCAATGAGAATGTTGCCTTGGGTTTTATAACATAAATGCACATTAGATGGAAATGATTAATGCATAGTTCCCAGGGAGAACTTATCTTATTATGGAACTGAGGTTCATAGCACAACTTGGCATGTTCTTACTGTTTCCTGTAAAGTCGGTGCAGCATGCTTCCTGCAAAACCTTGTTGGAGCAGAGCTCTGGTTTCGAATTTGTCTGGTTATAATGATTCTGGTGATACCCTGGTCTAACCTTCAAGATGAATATCAGTGAGGCTGCAGTACACATATGCCACATTCAGATGTTACATCTGATTTATTTAAGTTTCACTGAGATAGTTTGCCATCTGGACTTACCTGCAATGCGGACTGCCTCGCCAGAGTGGTGCATGCTCTGGTTATCTCCCGCTTGGATTACTGCAATGCGCGCTACGTGGGGCTACCTTTGAAAGTGACCCAGAAACTACAACTAATCCAGAACACGGCAGCTAGACTGGTGACTGGGAGCGGCCGCAGAGATCACATAACACCGGTCTTGAAAGACCTACATTGGCTCCCAGTACGTTTCCGAGCACAATACAAAGTGTTGGTGCTGACCTTTAAAGCCCTAAACGGCCTCGGTCCAGTATATCTGAAGGAGCGTCTCCTCCCCCATCGTTCTGCCAGGACACTGAGGTTCAGCTCTGAGGGCCTTCTGGCGGTTCCCTCACTGCGAGAGGCCAAGTTACAGGGAACCAGGCAGAGGGCCTTCTCGGTAGTGGCGCCCGTCCTGTGGAACGCCCTCCCATCAGATGTCAAAGAGAACAACAACTACCAGACTTTTAGAAGACATCTGACGGCAGCCCTGTTTAGGGAAGATTTTAATGTTTGATGTATTACAGTATTTTAATAGTTTTTTGGAAGCAGCCCAGAGTGGCTGGGGAGGCCCAGCCAGATGGGCGGGGTATAAATTATTATTATTATTATTATTATTATTATTATTATTATTATGCTGACCTTGCATCTAGAATAGAAAGGGACATGGTTAAATGATAAATGCAGGGGGGAAGAGAGTAATTGGGTGGCCAAGGTTATGTTGATCATGTGGCAAATATATAGCAAAAAAAAAGAGGGGGAATAAAGCCAATTTTTATTTGATTACTTTGTTCTACATCCATTATCCCCAGGGTTGCATCGTTTCTGAGCCAAGGGTGTAGCAAACCAAAGTACATTTGGAGACTAAGCTTGACTGCATTTCAGATAATATTAATCAACGCTTTTTAGCACACATTCCTGGGGAACAGTGTGATACGAGAAATATTTGTAGTAGAAATGTTTTCTGCAACGTAATTTGCATGTTCTTTCTAAATCCTGTCTCGGGGATGTTTTGTCCTTCGTATTTTATCTAAAGCTCTGTAATTACATCACAATGACTTGTATGCACCATCTTCTTTTCTTTTTAAAAAAATCATGACAGATTCCTTGAAATGCATTATACATGGGTTTTGGTTGTGTGGGGGGGCCCATTTATTAGGTGACGAGCTTGGCTGGAAATATTTAAACATTTTGCCTGGGCAGATGGACAATGTGGCCATTTTTTAAAAAATGGCAACACATATATGAATTCAATTAAAAAGTGATTTGACAAGCACTTGTTCCATTGTTTATATTCTTCTGGAGGGAGGAAAGAACAGAACATTGTTTTGTTTCAGAAATAATGTTACGACGAGCATTACTATGCCACCTCACTTTTGCATAATCTGACACTGAAAATAGTGTAAAGAATGGCTACTGAAGTCCACATTTGCATAACCTGACACATGCCACCCTGGACTCCTTAGGGAGGGAGGGCAAGAGAGAAATGTAATAAATAAATGGATGCTAGGAACTGGTGCAGCCTGCACTCATCACTATTCTTGTCCCTAATTAATATTCTATGTTCTGTTTTCTTCGAGTGAAAGTTAGTGCCTTGTTGAATACGTACCAACTTCCCTTCAGATGGTTTGGACAAATTGAGCCAGGGCATCAGGGAAATATTCAGCGCTCTCTCTCTCTCTCTCTCTCTCTCTCTCTCTCTCTCTGTTTTTCCGTCTGACATGGGATCTTTTCTGATATCAGAAAGGGTTATCAGATGTACAGTATGGCCCTTGGATGCCTTTTCAAAAGCCACAAGATTGCACCCCAAAACTTTATGACTTTATAAACTATATGACATTTGCAAACCGCTTTAAGAATTTTTTTTAAAAAAACCAACAACAACAATTAAGTGGTGTATAAATGTTGTGAAAATCAATCGATCGATCGATTGATCAGAAATCTTTACCAGAATGGAAACAATTTTTTAAAAATTCCTTCCTTTAGCACCTTAGAGACCAACTAAGGTTGTTCTTCGTATGAGCTTTTGTGTGCATGCACACTTCTTCAGATGCACACTTCTTCAGATACTGAAGAAGTGTGCATGCACACAAAAGCTAATACCAATAACAAACTTAGTTGGTCTCTAAGGTGCTACTGGAAGGAATTTTTTTATTTTGTTTCGACTACGGCAGACCAACATGGCTACCTACCTGTAACTTTACCAGAATGGATAGTATTCAGATAAATAAATGTGCAAACAGAGTGACTGCTGCCTGTGTAATGAGGATTTCCCCCCTTTCCTCTCCTCACATGCACCATGTGTGGTCTTGAAATCCACTCTGGAGGGTTGGGGTAAACCCCAGAACTGATTTAGGGGCTGCGTGGGAGGAGAAGAGGTGGGGGTGGAATCCTATTGCATAAGTGGAAGTTGTTCCACTCTTGCAAAGTGCTACATAGCGATACGTTGAATACAACCGAGCTCTGTGCTGGAGCCAGAGCTGGGGCTTGGGGCTTCCCTAGAAACCTAGCAGAGAAGCAAGATCTGTTTTGAGTGTTAATGCCATGAGCCCCTCCACCCTATGTTCCGGTGTAAATGAAACCATATATCCTAATGACGCCACAGTCTCCATAGACCTTTATTCCAAGGAAACCAAATCCTGGGTTGGCACAGGAACCCCTGAAATCTCTTACCGCTCAGAGGCTGGGGTGTGTGCAACAGTGCATTTAGTATTGATTAAATGCACATAGCTCCCTTCATCTGACGATCAGAGGGAAGTTTTAAACATAAAACATAAAACAAGAAAAACAGGAAAACACCACTGCCCACTTATTCCAATAAATATTTAAATGTTTGTTTATTTTCTTACTTATTTTGCTTCTTAGATTTATATACAGTGGTACCTCGGGTTAAGAACTTAATTCATTCTGGAGGTCTGTTCTTAACCTGAAACTGTTCTTAACCTGAAGACCACTTTAGCCGCTGCACGATTTCTGTTCTCATCCTGAAGCAAAGTTCTAAACCCGAGGTAATATTTCTGGGTTAGCGGAGTCTGTAACCTGAAGAGTCTGTAACCTGAAGCGTCTGTGACCCGAGGTACCACCGTACCACCCTTCACCATAAGACGAAATGCGAATTTCTGCGTGGTCTGTTTTCGTTAATAATCCACAGATAGATGTGAGCATGGGATGTAATGGGCTCACGAGTGAACACATCAGATTAGAAAGTGAGGCACAGACACTGGTTCATGGGGTCCCAGTTTGGGCTATTGCAGCTGCAGCCAACCCTATAACAGGCTTTAAATTAAAATGTTTCCCGAGATGAACTTTTCTCAATGGCATTTCATTTCCACTGTTCATCTTTGCCCTGATCATGTTAGAGGCAAGGGCCAGATGGCCGTGCATAGATTTGCTGCAGAAGGGAGCTGTGACTTACATGTTAATGAGGCACTTTTTTTTTTTGTTTGGTTTGGTTGGTTGTGTGTCTCTTTAAACAAAAGACACTCGAGCAGGTTTACCAAAGAGTTTTCATAAAGGAACAAAGCATTCTTCTAAATAAGAGACCTATGTGTAGATCACAGAATAAAAGTTTTTGTTTTGAAGTTTCTGCTTCGTGCTGAAAAGCATTGGGGTGGCCAAGGATTCGCCGGTCCTTCAATGTCAAGAGCTCAACCATGCTGAAGTATCCACTGATGTGGAAGGAAAACACAGCACAGAAACTATCTTGTAGAAGTCCCAGTGAGCAAGCATTATTCCTAGGATGCATTTAATGAATTCGGCTCATCATTTAAAACCTGGGGTTCTAGGTGCCTCTGGACTGCCAATATTTAGTGGAATAGATATGTGCGTATACTTGGACTTCAGGTTTGCAAAGTTAAAGTGGATTAAAAGGCTCTTTCACCTTGGTGCAGCAAACACACTAAAGGAGAATCAGACTTTTTCCTGTTTAGAAATTGAGACGTGTGGGATGAACGGATGATGAACGGGAAGCTGTATAAACAACCTGCAAGCAAATCATGATAAATGCTCATTGGACCCATTGTCTTATATCTGCATATCTAAGCAAGTAAACAGAATGACTACATCAACACACTTGTGTTTACACACACAGACAAATAAGCACTGTCAATCATATTCGCCCGCTTTTTCACCCACTGTTGAAATTTAAAGTAAAGTGCATGTTACCCAAACCTCAATATAGCTGCGGAAATTAAAGTGTAAGATAAACAAATGGCTTTAGTTGATTGATCAAGCAATTAAAATATCAGTCCAGTCACCTATAGGTGATTCTCAGCATTCACCAGTGTATGCATGGAAAGAAATGTCTTTTGAGGTAGCCACAAGATTCCCCTCAGATTGGGACCATTCAATATGTGAACGTTGACAGTCACTAAATTTGGGCGGTTCACTGTAACATGACAATATCAGAAGAAAGAAAAGGCTTGTGTGTTAGTTAATATGGAATGTGTGTTAGTTAATATGGAGTGTGAGCTAGGAGTTGGCTGAAAGCTTCCAGTGCTGACTTTCATATGATACAAGTCCCTAGCAAGCACGTTGGAGTGTATACCTTTAAAATACCTGCCAGTGTATTGACTTTTTGGTTGCATGTGCAACCATTTTCTGTTTGCGACAGCATCGTAGGACTGGTGCAAACTTAGTTTCTAGAATAAATGTGTGTAGTTGCCACAGTGCATGTCCGTTGACAGTACCAAGCAATTTCAAGGGAGAGGAGGTGAATATGCCATCTGCAGGTATATGTTCTCATTTAGTCCTTTGACTTGTGCTGTCAAATCACCATGATGTGTACTGCCACTTGGAGAAACAGCTATATTTCAACAGCACAGCCTCCTCTCAAGGCTGTAACTAGGAGAACAAAAATTCATTTTTGCCTACCTGAGCCAGCAAAAGAAAACAACAACAACAACAGCAACAACAACACCAACACCCTGCCCATCTGGCTGGATTTCACTAGACACTCTGGGAGACTTACAACATCTCTAAAAACATAATAAAAACATCAATCCTTAAAAACCTCCCTAAGCAGGGTTGCCTTCAAATGTCTTCTAAAAGTCAGATAGTTGTTTATTTCCTTGACATTTGAAGGAAGGGCGTTCTACAGGGCGGGCGCCACTATTGAGAAGGCCCTCTGCCTGGGTGCCTGTAACTTTGCTTCTCGCAATGAGGGAACCGCCAGAAGGCCCTCGGCGCTGGATCTCAGTGTCTGGGCTAACCAATGGAAGTGGAGACATTCCTTCAGGTATACTGAGTCAAGGTCGTTTAGGGCTTTAAAGATCAGCACCAACACTTTGAATTGTGCTCAGAAATGTACTGGGAGCCAGTGAAGATCCTTTAGGACCAGTGATCTATGATCCTGGCAGCCACTCCCAGTTACAAGTCTAGCTGCTGCATTATGGATTAGTTATAGTTTCTGAGTCACCTTCTAAGGAAGCCCCACGCAGAGCCCATTACAGTAGCTGAAGCGGGAGATAACCAGGGCATGCACCAGTCTGGTTAAACAGTCTGCGGGCATCACTAAGAGGCTTGCCAGTGGTGCTGTGTCCGGCAGCCTGACCCTTAAACATCTGAGTGCAGTAGGGGCTGATGGGGCATTGCTGTTCTCCCAGCTTCCAAACACCATGTGTCACTGAGGCTCGTTGGAGGGAGACGAGTGGGGAGCAGGGCGTTGTACACATGCATAACAGCAAGGGCATGTCATGGGCCAGGAGTCAGCTTTGCTTGCTGAACAGCAGTCTGAAGCAGGAGTGACTCCACCTGCAGCTAATCAGCATTCAAGGACACAGAGGAGAAGGTCTGGTGAGACCCACCTGGCTCCAACCTTCTTAAGCAGAGCTTCCAGCAGCAGGCAGGTGCTGGTAACAACGCTTGTAGTTCCTGGCCCAACCTTTCTAGTTTTTGCTCGTCTTGATCCTTGACCCCTGGATTCCCCCATCCCTGGACCATCTGACCACGCGGATTGCTGTTTGCCCGACCCTAGGATTAGACCTGACTTCAGATGCAGACTCTGCCTCCAGGCAAGTACACCCCAGAGACTCTTCTGGTTGGCTGGCATCCCATTCCACTGAGCTCTGCACGTTGTTGCTCAATGGCGCGACTACGGCAGAGCAGTGGCTTGGCTGCACTGCACCACATCACACAATGTCAAGCTCCCCCAATCTCTCTGGCAAGTGTCAGCAACAGGCTGTGTTTGGAAGCTGGGAGGGCAGTGGCGCCCGACCCAAGCCACCAAACCATTGGCTGAATGGAAAGGAGTGGGCGGTCAGCAGCTAGCAAACAGACAAGCAGAGAGCAATAAACAAAAGCTCCATCCAGTCCCCCTCCATATCTGGAGAAGGAGGCTAGAGAATCAGATGTGACCCATCATTTGGAATTGCAGCACACAGTGAAATCTGGCTGTGCAGGAAGACTCAAGGCAGTAAGTGGTCCTACAGACCTTGCTCAGAGCGGGGTGTTTTTAAAGGTATCTCCAATAGCATCTGTTTACCACTTCCTTGTATAACTGCTTAATCTTGTTCATGAAACTGAAAGGTCATTCATGGAATTGCCATGCAATACACTCCCCATCCCACAACCCTCCTAGACTCTAAAAAGTCTATATTGCTCTTCCCTCCTCCATCCATTCTGAAAGAAGCCTTTTAAGTTGTTTTGAGGCTCACCTGTCGGAGAACAGATGCTATCAGCAATGCAATGTATATGCGAGAACACTGGAATGTAGTAAGTTATCCAGACTGAAAAAGAGAAACTTTTGCACATATAATCCATTTGGGAGACACAGGTCTCCACCATTGTTTGACAGGAAAGCCTCTGGGCATTCAGAGCACAGAGCTCTCTCTTGTGACTGATAAACTGAAAACAGTCTGTTGAATGTGAATTCTCAACCCCACCATCTGATTAAGAACTCTCTTTCTTCGCTCTCTCTCTCTCTCTCTTTCTCTCTCTCTCTCTCTCTTGCTCTCTCTCTGCCACCTCCTCCTACATCTCCTAGAAATACAAAATTACAGAGCAAGAAGGTGATCCCTAGTAATCTGTAATCTGTAAATTTGGAGACCAAGTGTAATCTGACAAGGTGTATGCTATGGTGTCCAGCTTCTTCAGCAAGCACACCACAAGTCAAGTCTGTTAGCA